GTGTATTTTTGTTAAATTTTATTCAATTTACTGTTATCATATATAATGCAGTTATCTTTCTTCTCTCTCTCTCTCTCTCTCTCTCTTATTCTCACATATTCCGAGATTAATTTAATTTCCCTAGTAACAATACCGCAGCGATGATAATGCAGTGGATATGAATGGCCTGGAAACGTCTGTTGAGGTAGCTGTATTTGGAAGTTTATGAACTCTCGCTTCACATGAATAACTACTCGCTCCACCGGACTATTCTAGGTAGATCGAGTTCCGCTGCATTTACATCGCTGAAAACACGTTCTCATCAAAATCTCATCGGCGAGTCGCCGAAAATCGACGCAAGGAGCGACGATCCGGTCGAGACACGCTCCTGGCGCGCAGACGAAGAGAGAGAGAGACGCTCTGGCAGATTGCCTTTAAAACCCGCTTTACTAGAACTGAGGTACCGTTCGGCATTCTCTAGAAAAACACACGGCTGCTCCGTTCATCCGTCCATACTCCAGCCGCTCGTGTACGCGCTTTGTTTGACCGTGAATTTTTTAGCGAGTCGCAATATAAAATATTTCCCAGCCATTCTACCAGAAACTTATTTACATTCGCGTACATATACATTTTTAAGTGTACATATATATATTTTTTATCTATTTGTACATGTTTCCGTTTTATTTACTTGCGTTACTTTCTTGTTTTTGTATTTTTATTTAAAAATTCTTCAATTTTTAATTCATATTTTATTCATTCTACAAGAAGACAAATGTATTATGTGAAGAAAATTTTGCCAAGCGATCCAGGCGCGCATAAAAATATATTTTGACCGCAATGTTCCAAGAAATATATATATTTCGGAATTGATTATATTTAATGCTCGCAGAGCGATCTTTTATGTGAACATTTGTGATGCAAATCGCTTATATGATTCAAAGTTTATTCGTCGAAATTATGATTATTTATTGTTATTCTCAGCGATTTAAAGATAACGTTCCAGTATCCTTTTCGTGTATATAATTTATTCTTTAATTCACAAATGTACAATTCATGAGACTACGTTATTCAATTAGGTTCGCAACCGCGTTTTGATTTTAATCTGATGTACGTTGCATACAATGTTTTATCGCGGATTGATAGTCATACGCATTCAGCACATTCAGCATTAAACGTGACTATATAATTCGCGACCCAAATTATACTTCTTGCCAACGAGATCGTTTTGCTTTACGGTAAATTACAGTACGGTAAATCCCTACAACGGCAGAAAGATAGAAATTACATCCAATGAAATGGAATTAAATAATGATGTTTTTACGGTTTAAGATTGTAGCGTCCGAAAAAACTGAATTTAAGCGAAGTAGATTCTCGAGAAGCTCGCTCAATCGCGACTGAAAGATTCGCTTCCTGTTTAAATTCTACCGGTTACATTTCTTTTTATTAGCTACAATCTTTAGCGTGAACATTACCTCAAGATGTTTCAAACCAGTTCGAATTTCTGCTACGCTTGCGTCATTGTTGATCTTTCGAGACGACGTTTGCATCGAGTTTATGAACTCTGCTTAAAATGTATCTCCATCCAATCTCTTTCGAGCATCAGTTCTAGCAGTCGGCGAAACATACATAATCTAGTCTTTTATTTTAAGAATATTTAACGTGGAAAATTAAAAACTCGGACAATTTTCGCGAAATTTCTACGGAAGAGGGTCGGGATATTTGTTGTTCAATCCATAGCTGAAGGCTACATCGGACGCTTCTGCGGGATATCCCGTATGCATGCAATCAAGGCGGTGTTCCAGTTTCTAATTTGACGAATAGCGGGCCGCTCGTTTCTTTGTGCGCGGCGTTCAATCGCTCGACAGTTAAAACGATGTACTCGTGCTGAATCCGATATCGTGATTTTGCCGCGCGATCAATACGAGACCCTTTCGCCGGATTCTTTCTTAATGCAGCTCTGCGTTAATTCCACCGCCATTGTCGTCATCGTCATCTTGTACATATTCTCGATATGTGTCTGGCTCTTGATACGTCACTCTTGGCGAATAACCACTGATAATATAGTAACAATAATTTTTGAATATAACTTAAAAATTATAATTTCGTAAATTAGTCACGCGATATACAATTTCTAGAAATATTTGAAAGGAAGAAGGAAATTATTCGTATTATTTTGCAGAATAGCCGATCTAATGATATTTTAAGGGGCGCGAGAAAGATCCGCGGGTAAAGTTTATAAAAGTCGTT